GTACAAGATACACAACTCAAGGTGCTTGGTGATCTCTCAAGAACAAACATAAAGATAGGATGAAGTAGAAGGGAGAACCAACCCTAATGTATGATCTTGATGTATTGATAATATGAGATGATAAGAGATTTTATGGGCAAAAATTGGAGTATAACAGGGAGCATACCAACACTTTATGAAATTATGATGAAGGACAAATCACCGATGAATGATAAACATGACTTTCACCATTGCAAGAGTGCATTGCTGCTCTTTGTATACTAGCATATGGATCTAGAGCTGTCAAAATGGGCTACCTAATCCTAAACGGGTCGGCCCTAATAGGCCTAAGCTTTTTACGATGGACCAAAAAGCCATATTGTAATACGGGCCTCAAAATTACCACCTGAGTCTGACCCTAGATGGGCTTCGGGCTACCCGACCCTAAATGGGTTTTTTTTAATAAAAAAATAAAATAAAAAATCCATAATATTTATTATAAATAAAATAAAAAATTATATTATTTTAAACCTAATACATTTTGAATTACTATATTATCTTTTATAAATACTATAATGTGTTTTTAAATACCATACATGTCTAAATTGTAGAAAATAATACTCAAATATTTAACATAAGAGAAACTAATAGAATACGAGAAAAGAATGTTGATTATATTAATATATAATATTTAAAAGAGAAAGATTGAATATAATAGAGACAAAATTTATGAAGTGAGAAAAACCAATGTATTATTTTAGAGTAACTCAATACAATAATTAACATAATTGTTTTAAAATTTATAGTTACGTGGGCCTAATGGGCTACCCACGGCCTATGCGGGTTAGCCCTAATCGATAACACGCTTTTTAAGGTTGGGCTAAAAAAGCCCTTAAAAATATGGCTCTAATTTGACCCTGTTGATTCTAACAACGATATTAATGTGTTAAACACATCTATTGTGTTTAACGATGTTTTGAATGGACATGCTCTTGAACTTCAATACACAGTGAATCAAATCACATATCATATTGGCTATTACCTAACAGATAACATTTATCCTGAGTGGGAAATATTTGTTAAGTCTGTCCATATGCCACAAGGAGAAAAGAGAAAGTCATTTTTCCTGTGTCAAGAATTCGTACTAAAGGATATTGAATGAGCATTTAGAGTGCTCCAAACCCGATTCACAATTGTACGTGGTCCAGCTCGTGCATGGCACGTGAGTACAATGAAGCACATAATGCTAGCATGCATCATATTGCATAATATAATTGTCGAAGATGAGCGAAACACATATGCTGTTAATTTTGATTATGACCATATTGATAATAATTTTTCCGCAACTGAAATATTTGTGGGTCCTAATCCTAGTTTGACCATATTGTTTGAAAAGATATCACATATTCTCAAAGACAAAATCATCGCCAACTTCAAGCAAATTTGGTGGAACATATTTGAAAAAAATTTGGTCATGAGAATAATGAAAATTAATCTTTATTTTATTTTTATATTTTAATTAAAATATAATTTTATATATTTTAATGTGTATTTATGTATCATTTTAATTTTATAATATTAAATTTTTTATTAGAATAATTCTTTTTTAATTTTAATAATTATATTTTTATACATTTTAATAAAAATAGTCAAATTAATATTAAAGTTCAATTAAAACTATTATAAATAAATAAATATAAATATGTGGAGTCAAATTTAAATTATTTATAAATAAATAACATTAAAATAAAAATAAATTAAATCAACTAAAAATTCTTTAATCTTACCTGAGGTATAGTTTAAACCATTAAAAGTACTATTAGTAAATTAAAAAACTCATTTACCTTTTGACCAAATATTTATTGCGTTACCAAATTTATAATAAGAAAATTAAAATAAAAAATAAATAATAGAAGAATGTGCCAGTGACACTAAGAAAGACAGCAATAACATAAAGAGTTGAAACCCCATAGAGAAATCAAATCAATTACATTCACTCACGCACCATTTTCATTTTTCGAAAACTCAAATTTCTTCTCTTATTATTATTATTATTATTATTATTTTTAATATTTAGAAATTAGGAAGTGAAAATGGATCCTCCAACTCTTAGTTGGAGTATCCATACCCGACCTGAAATAACCTCCCAATACGAAAGCCTCGAACACATCGGATCCGGATCCTACGCCGACGTCTACCGTGGCCGGCGAATCTCCGACGGGAGAATCGTAGCCCTTAAAGAAGTTCACGATCATCAATCAGCGTCGAGAGAAATCGACGCTTTGCGGATTCTTCGGGGCTCCGAAAACGTTGTGTTCATGCACGAGTTCTTCTGGCGAGAAGACGAAGATGCTGTGATCGTTCTCGAGTTTTTGGAGACCGATCTCGCTACTGTGATAAAGGAGGCTGCCGCTGGTGCTGGAAGTGAGGGTCTTGCTGTTGGAGAGGTTAAAGGGTGGATGGTGCAGATTCTTAGTGGGGTTCATGCTTGTCACCGGAATATGATCGTGCATAGAGATTTGAAGCCGGAGAATTTTTTGATTTCGGATAATGGGGTTCTGAAATTGGCAGATTTTGGACAGGTTTTGAGGATAAAGTTTTGATTTTTTTTTAATTTTACTTCATTTTTGGTTTTGGCTTTTTATGAGTGTGTGTCTCTGCTTGATTGTTACTGTGAATCACTTCATTGATATTTTTTGTTCGCAATTTGATTGCGTAATGTGATATGGATTAATCATAGATTATTGCAAGTTTGTAGAATTAGCTTAAATCTGCAATTTTAAGGATGCTATTGTTGGTGAAGTCTTCGGTCTTAAGAGTGTGATCTTCCAAGTCTCAGATTCGAATTCTGCTAGGTGTTAACAATTCTTGTGTTGAGCAAAGTTTATACGGTGCTTTGCGTTGTCATTAAATGGACTCCCACAAGGGGATTGGTCCTCTTAGATTAACCGGAGATTAGCTGGAGAATTTTTGAATTGGCTTAATGTTTCCACTTAATGTTGAAATTTTAGTGAATCTTTGGATTGGCTATGTGTTTAATTTGACTACTTTTTCAGGCAAGGATACTTGTGGAGTCTGGATTTGATGCATCAAATAGTGAAAATTCATCCCTACATCCTCATGATGCTATTCCCTTATCAGAAAATTCAAACCGGACTGGATTTGAAAATCAAGAGGAGGAGGAGGAGGAAAGAATTAGTCATGAGGAATATTTTAGAGTATTAGATGAGCTGAAAATCAAGAGTCACACATATGATACTGATGATAAGGACACAAACACGCACGACGGTAACAACTCGTGCCTTGCAACATGCACGATTAGCAATGACGACGATGATGATATTTGGAAGAATTCTTTGCCATATGAAGCAGATGAAGAAGGAGGGTATGAGGAGCTTGGTTTTCTCACATCATGTGTTGGAACAAGATGGTTTAAGGCTCCGGAACTACTTTATGGATCGACTAATTATGGTTTTGAGGTTGATCTTTGGTCGTTAGGATGTGTTTTTGCTGAGTTGTTTATATTGGAGCCTCTGTTTCCTGGAACAAGTGATATAGATCAGATTAGTAGAATCATTAGTGTTTTGGGTAATCTGAATGAGGAAGCTTGGAATGGGTGTTCTAAACTTCCTGATTATGGAAGAATTTCTTTTACTAAAGTGGAAAATCCTATTGGTCTTGAAGCATGCATGCCGCATCGTTTGCATGATGAAGTTTCCTTGGTGAAAAAATTGATTTGTTATGATCCAGCTAGGAGAGCCACTGCGGCTGAGTTACTTAACGACAAGTACTTCTCTCAGTTGTGATTCCTTTCATCAGAAAAGTCAAAGATGATTTAGTTTGGCTGAGTGGTAACAAATGAATTGTGATTTTAATTTTGGCTTCAGAGAAATTTTATTTGTTTATTGTGTTCTTAGAGAGAAATTTTATTTGTTTATTGTTCTTAAAAATTCAAAAGGTTATGTTTTTTGGGTCTATAAGATGAGTACTAAAAGATATGGATCAAAACCAAATTATGTCAATTTTATAGGGGTGTAAGATTTTATTACTAATATCTGTACAAAAATATGAGTTCAAGGGGGCATCATTCATGGAATGAAATTTGCTAGTATTTGAGTTGTTCAATTGGTTCTTTTTTTAGAATTGTTCAAGTGGTGATTTATTTGCTTGACTTGTGAAAGATGTGGTTGGATTTTTTGTTTATTTTCTGTAGTATAATATTTGTTGAGTTATGATGTTATAATAGACGTAGAACTTTGCCGTGGTTTATTGCAAACGTGATGCAACTCAACATAATTGGAATGACAAGAGATTCTCACGACCAATGCTTATAGATAAAAGTTCAAATGAAATGAAAGCAGATTGATCAGAGTTGGGGACAAAGTTAATATGGAAAATATTCTTATAAAGATCTTCATATATTATCAGTCAATAAGATTCTCACTACAATGGGATTAATATGAGCTGAATTCATTTCTATTTGTTTTCTAAACACAGTTGGAATGGAAAAAGAGACCAAGCAATTGCATTACTAACTGGAATACAAATAGTTAGTTAGAATAACAGAGTACGCACAAATTCAAGCAGCTCTTTCTCATAGATGAAATAAAAGCACAACGGGTACTCAACCAAATACACAATAACATATTATATTGAGATTTTGAAAACAAAATGTAAGTAAATATAGTACTAGACAAATTCTATATTACATATTAGATACAGCACGTTGACAAATATTACAGGAAGTAGATTTCCCCAATTATTTTTCTCGTTGTACAGATTTCTCTATCCATGGACGTGCACATGGAATCACTGAACCCAAACATGAGATGCTGGTATCAAAATACTAAGCCTATTTGTATTAATGTTACACTAAAACAATACATAGTTACACTCTTGAGTTTCTCCTTGCACTATTAAGGTAGACAAGATGGATGAAACACAGTATGCTCATAGCTGAAACTATGATAGCCCCCAAATTATGCAAAATTACTGCAGTGAATGGATTTTTGTAAGAAGCTCTAGTCTTGGGGAAGAAGTGCTATCTCAATTTCTTGAAGTGATTTCCCTTTGGTTTCCACAACATTTCTTTTTACAAAAATTACTGCCACCATGCAGAATGTAGCAAACATTGAGTAAAGCAGTTGTGGACCAAGTTTCTCCAGTAAACGCAAGAACAGTAACCCAACAAAGAAATTACAGACCTGTACAAAATTGCAATGAACTTTAGAAGTCTTCATTTTCTTAATTCAACCATGGTAAAGTTCAGGAACAATATATTTTAATGTATCAAACTCTGGTAGACTAAATGGTGTGCAGACGATGTAACTTTAACTAATTTGTAATAGAACAGAATATAAATATAAACTATAAACAAGCAGAAGAAAATTACCCAATGTACAGACATACAGAATGCCATGGCTTTGGCTCTGATTCGACTGGGAAAGATTTCTGTTAGAAGTAGACCTGGAACTGGGCCAGCTCCAAGAGCAAATGTAAAGACAAACCTGCATGAAACAAGAAGAAATGTCAGTGTTAATTTTCTGGAAGTGTCTGCCCAAAATGCACCACATGCAATACAACCCTAGCCAAAGGTGACTGTTCCAATTTTTTTTTAATGGCGTGATTGTTCCAAGTGACATCAATGATTATTATTGTTTTTTGATCAAAGACATCCTCAATAATTCTCTTTTCAAAACATAATCCGCTAGTGACCTTAAATCGTTAATAAAAGAAACTTCTCTCCAGCTAAGAAAATGTCATGTCACTATTTCTAGAAATATGAATTTAGTTTTACTCATAATTTTCACTACAGATGCATCTATCAAGAATCAAGATCAGTATTTATAGTTACAGCATACTTACATTAACATGCCACCAACAGACAGGTAGAGAGCTCCAGTGTTTAGTAAAAGTGAACTTGCCCCTGTGGCTTGAATGATCATTGATATCGCCTATACAGTGTAAGTGTAAATATATTAAAATTCTGATTAAAGACCAGGTTAATCTTTTTCACATACAAAAACAAGATAATTAAAACCTCATAACGCAACAAAGGAAATTTCCCACAGTTGTGCAATGCTGTGTGTTTGCATTGGTTCACATGCCAAATGATATTTCCCCTCTTCGTTACTTTTGATTGTAATTATAATTTATTTTTTTCCTTCATTATTATTTAGATATAATTTCTGAAGATAGTTTAGCTGTTACTGTTTTGTTCCTAATCTTGAGGAATTCCAATCAAGTCTCAGAGTTGTAGATATTCATTGTAGAAATGATAATATAATTGTTCATATTTTTCAAAATTTATAATAAACACCAAGTCAGAACTTACAAAAGGATAACTTGTTCCTGAGTACCATATTGTGATGTGTGTGAAAATCACCTTTAATATGATGATATGTTACAACTGGATTATTAATAAAAAATATAATAGAACATCTATGCATAATTTACCATGCCAAAGAAACTCCAAAAGAGTAGAACCTTCCTTCCAAGTTTATCCATCAAAACCGTTGAAATGATAGATCCTGAGATAAACAGGAAAAAAAATTAGCATTTGAGAATACAACAACTCAATGCTATTAGAATGAAAATGAAACTGTACCTGTCAAATTAGCAACTCCTATGCAAACATTTGCAACATCCGATGGCACTCCAGCACTTTTAAAAACAGTTGAAGAGAAATAAAACACAGCATTTATACCAGATAGCTGTTGTAAAGCAAACAGGGTTGATCCAATAAAAACAACTGCAAAACGAACTCGTGAATAAAAAATGACTTTTGGATACCTAAAGAAACCAGTGACAAGCTAACAACAATGATATAAACACACGATGACACGACTATCCTAGAGATAGACATAAAAAGTTATATACCTTTAGAATGATGACCATGAAGCAATTCGGAGAACTTCACAGTATCAGTATCGTCTCCTCTATCTACCTTGGATAACTGTGATATTGCAAATTTTGCTTCAGATACACCCAGAAGCCTTTCAAACTCAGCTTCTGCTTCAGCAGTTCTTCCTTGCTATATGACAAAAGAGAGAAATGATTGAGGACTGTCAAAAGGATAATAGATCGAAGCGATGCAGGATGAACGTTTGTCTTGCTAATTAATAAAAACCAAGAACTATTGCAAATCATGCCAGAGATGGCTAGAAAGGGATTTAGAAAATATTTTAACAGTTAAAACTATTCCTCCAGTCTTCTATTAATAAGGAAAATGAGGATATGTATAGAAGCGAGTAGAAGCCTGCAAGAACTACAAACACAATCTGAATATTCCTTATTACTTTTGATGACTAATCATAGGACTAAATATGGTGAGACTAAAAAAAGTGGGTGGAGCTAGGGAGAGGGGAAATAATAAAATTAGCAAACCAAAGAGTGTAGGATAACTATTTGCATTTGATCTCACTTCATTTTGATTTATAACCGTCATCAATAGAAAAAGAAAAGATACAAAAAATCAGCAAGGGTTGGTTAAACATGCAACATATAACACCCATACTCGTTCTTTAGGCTTTTTTTATCTTCTAGAATATTTGATCATTACACTAGATTACTAGATAACGAAGCTTGCACTTATTTCTAAATATAAAAAAGACACATAGAGCACTTCAACAAAGTAACAGCTTAATTAGCATAGAGATTTCAAGCAATTTAAACAAATTTAGGAGCAAGAAGTTATAAATATAATTATAAAATGATATGATGTCTAATATGAAATAGTGTTAGGTGTCAACCTTGTATAACCAATGTGGACTTTCTGCACAGAAGACCATAGCCAGAGCAAGTATAGCTGCAGGTATGGTAGACACCCAAAAACAAACCCGCCACCTGAATTAACAAATTCAGGGAATGTTTGAGAAAAGATAAAGTATAAATATTAGATAATATGAATTTAAGATTTATATCATACCATCCAGAAATTTCTTTGACAGGGATTCCAATAAATAACGAGCCCAATATACCAAAGCATGTTGCAATCTGGATGAAAGCCCCATAGGTACCACGCACAAAAGCAGGAGAAACCTATCATTCAATATAGAAATCACATGAATAACCACTATACTTTTATCCTTGCCAATGAAATAGTAGCAACCATTTACATACCTCTGTTACATACAGAGCAGCAACAGCAGGGCCCAAGCCCAGGCCAGTTCCAACAAATAGCCTTCCTACAAGCATGCCAAACAAGTTGTTTGTTGCTGCACTGAATGTTCAGAATATCGAATGAGAAAATTAGCCTTAAGAACATATACTTGAAAACATAGAGGTAAAAACTGCCACTGACCAAACTGAAATACATACAGGGGTAAGATGTTTCTGTAAAAGCACCTTGAAAAGCATACTGACTCTATTATAATATACATATACTAGCTTTTGTAAGGAAATCTAAGAGGTGCACCTTAAAATCAAACTTAAGGGTCAGCTTACAGAATACCCTTTCCACCTATGATTGTGAAACTCAAAAATCAGGTGATTTTCTCTGTTGTTAATCTATTATCATAGGATATACTCAGAATATATGAAAGATGAAAAACATATGTTCTTTTCAAAAGCTAGCAAGGTAACATGCAAATATCATAATAGGAGAAGAGCCCCTAAGGAAACCATAAGATGGAAAATTGGCAATGAAGTGCAAGAGGGATGGAGGAGAAAGAAGTAAAAATATTTTATCACATTATAGAACACATGAATAACATGTTTTGTGCTTCCGCAGTAGCCAAGAGATCAACAGTAAAACTAGAAAATCGATAAATAAAAACTGAGTACGAGCACATGAATAAATTCATAGAACACTAACCTTACCAGTTCAGTAGATCACAGGGATAATAGCTATTGACATATCTTAGCTATACTATAGTAGCATGAAAATAACAAGGACAAACTTGATTTATCAATAGAAAGAACCTCAAAGACTAATACTAATTATGCTCCTTGCAAAGGTACAACATCTAAATTTAAAAGTGATTCATAACACATCAACCTCAAATGCAAGAGGAGCAAGAAAAGTTGGAAAGAAAATTCTTATTTATTCCTCACAAAAATAGAATGAATCAAACAACAAATTTGAATATGAAAGTATAACCTCATTGAAGCACCAATTATCATTGGCAAAGCAGACAACTGGAAAGCCTTGCGTCGCCCCACCCCATCAGCAATCCAGCCACTCAGTAAACATCCAAAAAAGGCACCACCTAGACATATGCTGACCACCAGGCCTTCATTTGAAATCAACCCCCAAAAAAACTAATTATGAAGAAATTATTTATAACATGATATCAAATTAAGCATAGGTTTTGGAATCTTCTTTTTCACCTTCTGCCAAGGTATTGCCATGGAATCCAAGATCCAAAGCAATGCTCTCAAGTGGTTCATTAACTACTCTGTAGAACCCAAAAAATCAAAGGATTAAAAGTGAAGTCTTTGATGGATTCCCAATTAAAGCAAGAAAACCAAGAGAAGGGCATGGAGAAATAGAAACTAAGGAAACACAAACCCGAGATGGTATCCAAATAGGAATGAAGAAATGGTCGCCACAAGTACATGTGGTAAAGAACGCTTCCAAGAAGGACTTGATGTTTCCTTACCCATACAGTTGTCTAAAAGATCTAGCAGACATATAAAACAGCATGGTTAGTAGTTACCATGATAGAAGAACTAATAAAAATATGCAGTACATCACTAAAATGACATCTTTTCAATTATCATTTTCAGCAGTGCAGTGCAGTTGATATCAATAATAAGGACATCTGAACAAGAGCAATAACATATAAATGAAACTAGGAAAACCAGATCACTTTTAAGATTTAGATGATTTGCTTTTCTTCTGAATAATGAAATGTTGAAAGGATTATGCTGGAAAGGTAGAAATTATTTCAGATAGGGTACTTCCTTGAGGAGGTATTCAGGCTAGATGCAATATTTCACAACAGATAGGAACTAGTTAATAGTGTCATATAACCTGAAGTACATTTGTAAATGTTCAATGAAGAGATACCTGAGTTTGCTTCCACGTCTTCCATATTTGAATTATCTTTTGAAGGACTACGCTTGTACATAAAGGAATTTTCACGGTGATGCCCCCACATGTCAAAATTTCACCTGACAGCTTGCCCAAATCAGCCTATCTGAAAAGATTCAGTTTCTGTGTCTGAAAATAAAAAAAATATAACTAATAGGTTACATGAAAGCTCAGCAAAGTGACAAAATCAAAGTTTAACACATCAATGTCTTGTAAGACACCAACAATTCTGTGTGTGTCCTCTAGGAAGTCAAGTTAAAAAACAACTTGAGCTCAAAAATATATCTATCTTTGGGAACCAAGATACATTTCTAGATCATTATTGTAATCAAATGCATTTTCCCTCAGCAATTCAAGAAATCGTCTCACAATTCTGGAGGCAAGTCTGCTCATATAGTATATACCGTACAAGGAAGAAAACTTTGCATGTTTACTTTCTAGAACATTTTCAGTTTTTATTTTCTAAAATCTGTGTTCATTTTAATTTACCAACAAAGAGATGGAAGACTCATATAATAAACAATTGTGACAGAGAGAATATGGAAAGCAAGCCAAAAATAATGTATTTTTCGAAAAGATGTTGTCAATTTCAAGTTTTTTTAAAATGTTAGATCTATTTTCAGAAATCATAAAAGAAATTATGAGGGCCATACTTGATCTACATTCTCTTATGCTAATTAATCAAAGTGAAAATAAAAACAGGATACATGGAAGGAAGTGGACATTAAAATCTTAAAGAACTATGTTCTATCCAAACTCGAAGCTCAATGTCATTCAAGCAAGTAGATCAAGTATGGCAGCTATTCTCCCACTAAAGTCATGATACCTCGCATGTTTTATTATCTCGTCTTTTCTTTGTTCTTACAGGAATTCGGTGCGGTAACAGCTAGGTATCATAGCCTGTTCTTACAGGTATTCGGTGCGGTAACAGCTAGGTATCATAGCCAAACGAGCTCTAAAAATACTCATCCCAATCCTACATACACATAAATGCCTTCTACCAAAGAAAAACTAGCTGGAAATATTTCAAGCACGCCAAAGCGCAAAATCAGATTTCAATATCATCAAAATTGTACTACTTCACAATTTCAGTATCATCAAAATCAGATTCCAACAAGGTTCACAACTCATAGAACTTTCAAATCACTGCATTATAAGCTCAATCTTAGTAATCTATACAAAATCACCAAAAAAACAAATCACAGATTCACAGTAACGCTAAAAACACTTCTATTCTACAAATCAATCGGTTCAAGCATCACAAACAATATCAAAAACCAATAACAAACTTTCTTTCTTTACTTAAAAATAAATCAAAATATATAAAATAACAACTCAGATTTCTACTACTCTACATAACACACTGCACAAACTTTTCTATTGATAATCAATACTACAAGTACATACAAGTTCCTCTGTTTTCGTACCGAAACCAAAAAAAGAGGTGCAAAAAACGTGAATTAAACTAAATCTATGAAAAATTGTTCAATAAAGCATAAAAAAGAAAACGAAGTGAATCGAAATCAAATAAACAGAGAAATGGATATGAAAATGAAAAGAAAAGTTACGCACCGATGAACAGAGAGCTCCGATCTATCGCAGAGCTCTCTCTTTCTCAGAGAGAGAAAGAGAAATCTCAGAGTTAGTTCGGGTTTTGAAATAGAATGAAAGAAACGGTGGCGAAAAGGAAACGGTAACCGCTAAACGGCGGCGAAACAGAAGAGAATGTGCTATCGTGCGGGGGGTGTTGCTGGGTTTTGAAGGAAACAGAAAATAAAAAAGGAAGAATCTGGTACGATTAATCAGTGAAGGTTGTTGATTTGAAGAGAAAAGGAAAGAACGTAAGCTATAATTGCACTCGTGTATTAGTAACAGTATTAGTTACGTGATTTTTTATTTTTTTTAATAAAATAAATTGCGTAAACGATAAATAACCAAATTTAAATAAATTTAGAAATATATTTTTAACAAATTACTTTAAAGATTTTCAAAAAAAAATTTTAAGATAATATATTGACGATATAAAACAGTTTTTACACCATTGTTTAATAAGATTTTGTCATTTCGTCATATTATATCAGTATTTTAAAATTAAAGTGTGATTTAACATAAAATATAATGATAATTGGTTGACAATAGTAGTAAAACGGATCCTCCGCTCCACCGCACCACGCCTTAAATTTATCAAAAAAAAATGAGACAAGTAAGTTCATCAAATGAAAATAAACATAAAAATCTAACTTGTATTCTCAAGGCTGCAGATTGGAGAACAACAGTCTTATCCACTTGCTTTTTTTATTTTTTATTTTTTAATAGATTAATAAAATCTTTTTCATTTTAATTAAATTTATCACTTATATTTTATAATTTTTTTTATAAAACATCTTATTAATAAATTACATATATTCACAAACTAATATATAAAATAAAACCATCAAAAATTATAATTACTATAATTAATTAAATAATAATGTATGGAATAAATTAAAAGAATAGATGTAATAGATTATGGTGGAACGATCGTTAACGAATAGCAATTTTTAACAGAATAGGTTTTGATGGATGACAGAGGCAAAATGCAATTTTTAACAGAGTAGGTTTTGATGGAGTCAATTTATCATTTTATAGAGGATGCACTATCCAACCCGGCGAACTATGACCAATTTTGCCTCTCTAACATACTCTTTTTCTTAAAAGAACAAATTACTTTAAATAGTATTTCCATTAAATCTAACTATATTATTAAGAGTATTATATTTGATAAAAACGGACGGTGGGACACGGGTTTTTTTTAGAGGCTAAGATTATGACATGCGTATGTTTCGTTCTATCATATGTTGTGGAGAATCTGGGGATGGGTGGGGTATTAAAATGTGTTAGTTTTCTAGTGGTGAAGATGGGACCATAGCGGCGTCAAAAAAAAAAAGACCATAGCTAGTCGACATAGATCGATATTCTCGATTTCGAATCTAGATATAAATATTGTTTTATTGTGTTCTTTTACTATTTATTCTTACTTTTTCAGTTTTTTATTATTTAAGTTGTAGTATGTATTTTTTTTAAATAAATAAAAGATGAAATATTAATCATTAGATTTTAAAAAAAATTAAAATTATATAAAGAAAATTTATCAAATAGTCTACAACTATTCTTACATTGCTACCAACTAAAATAATTTAATGAGACAAAGTTATATAAATTTAAATAATAAAATTAATTTTATTATTGAAAATATCTTATTAATAATCTATAATAAAAATGTTCGACGGATTAAGATATTATTAAGAATCATAAGATAACATATCATAATTCTTTAATATATAACAAATAGATACATATAATTTAAAATAATAATATATTAATTTTTATCCTAAAAAGACATGTTAAAAAATCCACAAATTGAAAAATTATATTAAAAAAGTAATAAAAATTATATTAAAAAAGTAATATAAAATTTAATTATTATTTTTTAATAACATTAATGTATGATTTTAAAAAAATCATTTAATTCTTAACTTGTAACTTTAAAACACATATTAATATTATCTAATAAAAATATTTAAAAAAGAAAAGAAAAGGTGATTTCATTCCAACAAAAAGTGTATTTAAATAAGATTAAAAACGTAAATTTACTTATGTAAAAATAAAGAAAAATAAAAGAAAAACATAAATACACTTTGAAATATTAAATTAGAGTTAGTCAAAGAAAAAAAATGCTTCTACTCGAAGCTATAAAGTGTAATTTTACAAAATTATGGTAGCCGTATAATAAAACGTGCAATGGCGATGAAAATAAGTGTAAACAAACACACATTAATTCGGTAAACACCTCTAGCTTTTTTATTTTTAGCCATCACCATAAAAAGATTTTGATCTTATCATCAAAAGTATACAATTTTTTTTACTTTAAATAACATGTATGTTCAAAAATTAGATGACTTGAAAGCAATTGTGAATCTCCTTACTGAAAGAGTAGGTTCACATCAAGGATATGAGTATTAATGTCATATGAATGGATGTAAATAATCCCCAATCATAGGAAACAACTCTAAATTTAGTAAAAAAACTCTAGAAATATATGGCATGGGTTTTCATCTTTTTGTATCCACTTGACACCTATCAAGATCGAAGGTATTATTCCACGTCGCTATTGATTTTCTTTATTAGGATCCTATTGTTGATCAACTTTTAGGCGAACAGAGATACTTTATGCAGTATAAAGTTACCCCGAACGAGCTCTTAGTTTAGCTCAACATCAGTTTAGCCTTCATGTATCTGAATGTGATATCCATCTTTTAGTGAGTAGTCAGCATCGCGCTCAGGAATTCACTTACAACTATCAACAACACTAACCTACAAAATAATGTTATCCAACAAAAAATTACATTCTTCCACATGTTCTTTCTCTCAAGGGAAAAGTCTCATCTGTTAGGGGAGAGTATGGTCTTGAATAGAGGGTTGAATAGATCGCTCCTAAAAAGACTAATTTAAAAAACATTTGCTTTTTAAAATTAATTTTTTTATAAAATTGCTTGGTGTGGCAAAATTTTGTATAATATATGTGATTGGAATGATTATGTTGTACACACTTATACTTGGAAATAAAATGAACGTAAGATGAAAAATGTAAAGCAATCAATTCCTTAATTAATTTAAATTCATTTTACACAAGATGTGTAAATCGAAGTTATTTAATTGATTAAGAAATCTATGAATATAGTTTTCAGTTTTAATCACGAGTAAGATCGTTCAAAATCTTGATCTAACACATACCTAATTTTATGCAAGAAATCACTATGAAGGCGTTAAAACCTAACAACGTGCAATTTTTAAGAAAACGATCAATCCTAAGCATTTGATTCTCGTTTTGTGCCTAATCCACTATCTAAAGGCAAGCCATTGAAAATTTGTAGTCTTCCACTAAGATTTCACAATTATTTTACAAAGTCTTTAATACAGTCACAAGATTCAATATGATGCTGAAAATTAGACAATCTTTGATCTGAATCTTCTCTTTGAATGTATACAATGTCTGAAATTGATCTCTGTAAGATCTTCACTCAATGT